TTTGGCCACCTTAGAGGTGATTTTGTTAGAACAATATGAAAGGGGGGAGGGAGATATCAATCAATCTAATTTATTGCGGTAGGAGCCAATAAAGGGAGGGAGATATTAAATTCATCAGATCTGCCTGGAAAATTTAATAGAATTGGAGTTATTCAAAACAGTAATAACATGGGAATAATATAAAAACATACACAAGAGAAAGTTAATAAAATTAGTAACATAAAATAATGTTAATAAGAGAATCATACAATTTTTTCAGCTAAAATAAGTTTACGTTTCCTAGTAGCTAAGCAACAAAATTTTGCCACAGCGTAAGTCACTGAGCTGTGAACGTCTTCTAAGAGGAATTTATGAAGGACTTCTGGCCTAAAGTCAAGATAAGACTGCAGAGGGCTAAATCTAGACAGAAGGGGTAGTATAAGATGGTCTCGTTCCTCCTGATAGAATCTGCAGAACAGGAGGACATGAGTAATTGATTCCACCATATTAGCAATGCATGGGCATATACGTTCATGCATTGGAACTCAAGTGGTTTACTACTAGATATAGTGACCAAAATCAGTTGGGACTTCTGCATGGCTTAACATGCTTTTATTTGGGGCAGAAATGTGGTGGCTGTTGCAAAAATTATTTAAGTACAGACTAGATCATACCTCGGGAGAAACGGTGAGGAGGTGGCTGAAGTATTTGATCAGCTGAAAGAAAGCCATGGAATCCCTGCGGAATGCACTGCTCCATTATTTCCAGGGTGCCATTGGAGGAAGAGGATGATAATCCCAGCCTTACGTATCTTGTTTTTTTCCCACAAAGCAAACAGTTAACAGGAGTGGCATTAGGTCCTCGAGGCAGATTCACTTGATCATGGCTATGACTTCTTGTAGCACCACTGTGATACAGGGAACGTTCCCGCTGCCATATATAATGTGCTGGAGCAATAGCCATTACCTGTGTAAGAGAATGTTAATTCTGAAATGGAGCCATAACAGAAACAAACAACAAATAATGCACAGAAATAATCAAAGTTAAGGTAATAGTTTTTGTGGGAGGGGTAGTTGCCAGTAAACACTTGCATAATCTCTTTCAGGACCCCCTATTTATACAAATATTAAACTCACTAACATTATAGTCACTATTCCCAAATGGTGCGATCACTTTTACATCTCTCACCAGGTCTTGGGCATTACCTAGGACCAAATACAGGATCACATCTCCCCTGGTAGGTTCTGTGACCATGTATTCCATAGGACAGTCATTGAGAGTGTCTAGAAACGCAATCTCTTTTTCCCGACTTGAACACATATTGACCCAATCAATGTGTGGGTAGTTCAAATCACCTATTACGACAGTTATTTCGTCTAGCCGCTATCTTTAATTCATTCATTATTTTATAATCTTCCTCTATCTTTTGATCTGGTGGGCGATAACAAACTCCCTGTGTTAAGCTTCCTTTTGGGCCCACTATTTCAACCCATAGAATTTCCAGAAGCGAATCCAATTCTCTTACCCTCTCAGTCTTACTGGACTGTATACCCTCTCTGACATACAGAACCACCCCACCTCCAACCCTTCCCCCCCATCCTTCTGATATAATTTATAACCAGGAATCACCGTATCCCACTGATTTTCCTCACCCCACCAAGTTTCTGAAATACCCACAATGTCTATCCCCCCCCAACACCAAGCATTCCAACTCCCTGATTTTACCTCGGACACTTCTAGCATTTGTATATATGTTTCTGTGTATGTTAAAAAATAGTTATTTTACACAGTTGCTGAAAGTACAGGAGATGAAGCTGCTTATTAAAATTCAGCTGCTCTTCTACATTCTCCGTCAAAAAAATTCATTGTGTTGTATCCTGCCAGTCCATTTGGCTAACAGGAATATATTCCTTCAGGTCAGGGAGCCTTCTTCTAATGCAAGAGATTTTCCAGTGGCAGAAGAGCCTTCTGTATCTGAGGAAGAATCCTTGTTCCAGAGGAACTTGTCGTTACTGGCTGGTAGAATACAACTCATAGCAGACCGATATATATATAGAATAAAACTGTCTTACCTCCTCACAGCAGCGTCTGCTTACAATAGCCCTGTAGTCCATCTTGCTCCAGAGTTCATCCCTTAAATTTAAGAAGTCAGGAAAGAGCTTCCTCCACGATTTTCCTAAGGCCCATGGAAATATCTCATACTTTGACTCTTCATCATCTTCCTCAACTGTGTTTGCTAGGTACCTACAAGGATACAAATTGCGATTAACTTAAATATGATTTCAACACCAGTTATGTACTAATGGGTCTTCCTTTTCTTTCTCAGTTGTACATATCACCATACCCAATTACTCAAAGCAATTTAGTGGAGAAATGTCAACAAACGGGTGGATTTTACCCCTTTCCTATCACTCCACAGAGCAAAGTTTATTTATTTATCAAAATATTTATATCCCACCTTTTGGCTCAGGTTGGTAGCCTTCCTCCAATCTAAGGAGGCTTCCTCTAATGGAAGTAGCTCTTCCATTAAAAAAAGCACCATGTAAATTGGAGGAAAGCTCCTTAGGCTGGAGGAAGGCTACTTGGAGGATGGTTGGATCCACCCCACTGTATTTTTACAAGGTTGAAAAGAATGATCAATTACTGTTTATTCAATTGGCCCAACCAAAAGTTGGAACTGAGTTTGTTTTATACAGAAAAAAAGTCAAGAATTTAGAACTGGCATAGAATTCTGCATTTACAAAATCTTAACGTTAGGTTGGAACCTACCAGCTTTCCTGCTAGTGCAAGAGGGAAGAAAGTTCCTTTTGACCCCCAAAGGGCTGTGCTGGAGATCGTGGCATCTGAGTGGACAAAAGATCACATGGTGGGGCTGCAATGAGGAGGGGGAATGGGCTAGGGTGGAATTATTTTTCAAAAAAGAATAACTGAAGCACTCCAGGAGGATGGGTAAGTGGATAACAATATGGCAAATGAAGTTCAATGTAAGTAAGTGTAAGGAACAGAAATCAAAGCTTCAAGGATATGCTAATAGGGTCTGAAGTTGCTGAGACAGAGGGAAAGAAAGACCTTGGTGTCACAGTGGATAGCTCAATGGAAATGCAAACCCAATGTGCCACAGCAGTTAAAAGGCAAATGCTATGATGGAGATCTTTAGGTAAAGGGCTGAGAATAAAACAGCCAACATTGTAACGTCCCTGTATAGATCTATAGTGTGGCTCATATGGAGTACTGCGGGCAGTTCTGGACATCATGTCTCAAAGAGGACATTGGAGAGCTGGAAAAAGTACAGAAGAGAGCAACCAAGATGATTTAGGGGGTGGATCAACTTGGATTTATAAAATTATGCATGAGGTAGAGAGGGTGAACAGAGAGAACTTTTTCTCCCTCTTGCAAAATAGTAGAACTCAAATCCAGTGGAGCTGATGGGCAGTAGATCAGGGATGGACAAAAGGAAATGGTTCCTTATACAATGAGTGATTAAAATGTGGAATTTGCCGCCAGAGGATGTAGTGATGGCCACAGGCATAACCTGCTTTAAAAGGGGTTAGATAGATTAATGGAGGATAGCACTATCAGTGGCTATGAGCCATGACGACTATAGGGAACCTCTGAATCCCAGTACCAGGAGGAACACCAGGGGAAGGCCTTGACCTCTATGCCCTGTTGCTGGCCCTCCAGATGAACTGGTTGGCTACTCCGTGAGCCAAGATATCGGACTAGATGGACCATTGGTCTGATCCAGTATGGTTCTTTTTATATTCTTAGTATATACTTAAAATTCCTTTGTACAAAGGGATTCAAAGGGATTTAGAAACCATGCAAGTAATATATTTTAATGTATGTTTTTATTTTTTTAAATAGTGGTTAGAGCAGGGGTTCCCAGTGTGGCAGCTGTGGTCACCATGACACCTGTCAACACCTTTCCTTGTGCCCATCAAGTGTTTTTAGAAAGTGGGGGGTGGGGTGCCCAGCAAGGTTTCTTATTGACTGTTGTAGGTCTGGTTAGCTGTGCAGAGTAAAAGGCACCCTGTTAGATAGAGTTTGTGCCTGAAATGCTGAAAAGTAACAAGAGCTATGCTTGCACCCTCACATTTGTGGCAGCCATTTTGGGGTTATTGTGCCCACCACCCTGTGGCAGAATTTCAAAGGTGCCCAAAGGCTCAAAGAGATTGGGGACCCCTGGATAAAAGTGGCTGATTAGGATCCAGGAGACCCAGATTCTAAACCCCACTCATGCCATGGAAGCTTGCTGGATGACCTTGGGTCAATCACACACACTCAGCCTAAGCTACCTCGCAGGGTTGTTGAGAGGATAAAATAGAGGAAAGGATGATATAAGCCATTGCGGGACCTCACTCGGGTGAAAGGTGAAATATGAATGAAGTAAATAAATAGTGTAAAACTGGAGTTTAAAAGCATCCTAGAAACAGCCCAAGAGCAGTACAAGAAAGGAAAAGCTTACTTATATGGCAAAAGCCCAGGTGAACTTTAAAAGCATGGGATGCAAGCGTTCCCTCATAAAAGTATTATGTTTTGTTTACATTGCTCACATATCCAGGTTGCATACAAATACATTGCAGAATGTTTTATATGATACTGTAAGCCTAAATATACTGTCCCAACATCTACATTTGACCCTGATTAGCCTTAGATGGGTTTCTCATATTAAAAACCCCCACAGCTTTAAAACCGAGAAAGTGGGCCCTTGTTGAAAATTCTAGCAAAATGCTTGCAGATATCCATGATCTTCAGTATGTGGTGTTTGTTTCCAGAAGGGCTGAG